TACAACTCGTTCTGCACGGGGATCGACATATGTCCCATCAGACTTTTTGTGTGTCCGAGCGACCAACTCTACGATTGATGGCGTTCTCCCCATTTCTTTCTCATATATATATATATATATATATTATTAACATAATAAAAAATCTACAATTAAAAAACTAATTAAAAATTAAATTAAAGTTTAAATAAATATTATCTCTTTTTGCCTCTTCTTGAATGATTTAGCACCGGAGGTATGACGATGAGGCCCATCACCCTCGATTTTTTGGGACAAACGACTTTGTTTCGCCTTGGAACTCTTGTTCTTGAAATGGTCTGAGTTCCAATGCGTAAGAAGCTGCCGGTACAAGTCATTTGTTGCCCACTCCGGTGGCAGTTCATGCAGCTGATGACGGCGTTTGGCATTGTTCATCATTTGTTTCAACCGCTGCATACCCAACTGGTTAAACTCTTTGTAAACTTTATCGGTGTACTTCTTTTTCTTCACCCCAGTACAGCATGCAACCATTTTTGCAAACATCAATCTTTTCATAAGGCATTCCCAAATTCTTCAACATAGCCTTCGTATCATAATACGATTCTGGAGCTTCGTTATTTTCAGGTAAATATTCACGCAACGTTTGACAAAATGAATCCATGCAATTTTCGGTGACATTGTAATCCGTTTTCATACTCATCAATCTTGATGCAAGAGATAAACGTGACTGACCTTCTTTACATCCTTCATAGATAGGATGATTTGCCATATCCAACATGTCGAAAAACCGTTTTGTTTCGACGTTTGGCTCCTCCTGATCTTGTGATAAGTTTTGCTCAGCCAATGGCGCCCCAGGAAAAGCATCTGTCACCATTTCAACATAAGGATTTCTTACATCTTCATCTACATCATACCTCTGCTCGGCCGAGACATGTTGTCCCGTTGTGATTGTCCGAACTTCTTCTCCATGAAATCGCCAAATATAATAATCTTCGACAAATCCCCTTCGAAATAGATGTTTACAAACATCTTCTGGACTGCGATATTTAAAATTGCGACAACTTGTACATGGACATAGCATTTTTCCACGTTCTTGACACAACGGCTGCATAGAAGCAAAATTCATAAACTGTTCCAAACCGTTAATGAATTCTTGCGTTACCTCTTTTGTAATCGAATCAACTCTTTCGTATATCCACTGTCGGGACGAACGAATATTCGGATTTGTTGAAGATGTCATTTTTAGGAGAATTTTTGGTAAAAGAATAGTATAAGAGTGAGTTAGAGAGTGGTTTGGACGAATTATGGCCGAGTGCTTTAAATAGAGAAACTTTCCAACGGATATCCGTTGGAAATCCGTTGAAAAGTTCGTTACCGTTACACTTTCCAACGGATATCCGTTGGAATATTTCGAACGTTATAACGTTCGACTATTTCCAACGGATATCCGTCGGAATTATTACCGTGTTTCATAACGTTCGAATAATTTCAACGGATTGCCGTTGAAATTCGTCAAACGTTATTTCCAACGGAAATCCGTTGGAATATACGTGGAAAATTTCCAACTCAAATATCCGTTGATATGCCATTGGAAATTTCCAACGGATTTCTAACGGATGTATCCGTTAGACGTCCGTTGGAAATCCGTTAGAAATGCGTTGGAATGATTCCAACGGGATACCGTTGGAAATCCGTTGGAAAAATTACAACGGATTAATCCGTTGGAAAAATCCGTTGGAATTTCGCAGTTTTTTTGTAGTGGCCATGACCACCCACGTTGAATTGAGTTAGAGGTGATCTAACCAAGGCAATAACAGTTCGAGTTCTGATCCTTTATCTCCCGATATCATATGTTGAACAAGGGCATGGTTTGAGCCACCCTTCAAGTTCAACCGCTTTCTCGTTTTGGCAAATCGACTAATAAAATAGATGCAACTTCATCTATAGCGTGACCACGCATTTTCATAGTCCGACTTCCACGAGAGGGCCCAGCGATATCTCTCCTATTGAGGAGGTGATAAGTCCCATATTGCATGTCTATTATCTCCATATGATTCGTGAACGTATCTGATCAACGCCGTTATAATCATCCGGTTAAAGACGACATTTGACGCAGTCAAGACACGCCACTCCTCATATCAGATACTCTAGACATCTCAGGTCTGAGGATCCAAGAGCGAACCGCTTTATGAGATTCAAGTCATGACTCTGTCCATGTGACAATCTCATGTGGGTCAACCAGTCACTCGTTCACAACGAGTACCCATGATTGTGAAATGCATCCAATGCATCGATCACACCTCATGCTAGTCTTAATTCATCATTGTTCCCACAATGATAACTGACCAGGGTGTTTAGAATCATTCTATAATGATTCAAGGATAGCGAAATATAACAAACATGCCAATCATATAACGGGAATGTAATGCATTCATAAATCAATGAATCAATACAAAGTCAAAATGTCATATCACGGATCATCCTAGAGCATTACAACCAATAGATCAAGGGCAGACCGTCCGTTCTCATCAGACTAGACCGTCCGTTCTACATCCAGAACAGATGCTCCGAGGTACAGACTCTGAAATTTTTCGTTTTCTTAGTCCGATTACGCAATCGTTGCTTAATGTGATCAACTGTGACTCAAATAGACATGACTCATTTTTATGGATGGGCCATAGTGAATGAATACATGTAACTTAATCAAGATATAAGATATGCTTGATTGAGTGGGAGCTTCGGGATTGGGATTACATAATCGAATGGATGGTCTATTCGGATTATGTAATACAACTGATCAAGGAACAATAGTTGATCTTTGATAGTACAATCGTTGCACAGAAACCGGTTAGATCTAGGAGCTCTACAAGTAAAGCACTTGTCAAGGCCTCGATCGTACGTGTCATGGGTCATGCCAAAGCTGGTTGTGTCGTGCTATCTTGGTGAGGCAAGATGGAGAAATGGTGGGTCTCATAGCTTGAAAGTATATGCTTGATCTAAGTGTAGTTTCGAAAATCCCTTTTATGTAATGCTAAGCGTGTACCTTCCATTACTAGAGCCCTTGTCAAGGCATCGATCATCCGTAACACGGGTCATGCCAAAGCTGCGCGTGCCAGATTATCTTTGTGAGGCAGGTTGGGAAATCGTGGTTTTCACAACTTGAATATGGTTCACCTTAGGTTAAGTTTTCGAGTTTGACTTGAGACTTAACGGTACAGATGAGACGAGTATGCAATGATATTTGATATCATAGTCTCATAAAGGATCTAAGAGTCACATTGGATGTGATTGACATTAGATGTCTACCTAAATAGCGTAAGACTGAGTATAACAACTCATTCTTATGTGAATTATGGATCTTAGTCCCATATAGAAAATTATTGTAGGATTATTTTTTTTATGGGGATATTGCTTGTATGTGCATCTATGTTGTCGTTGGATGATGATGGAATAGCTGGTAATAGATCATTGATAGAATCTGCATTTTGTTTTTGTTCGTTCTGTTTTGTCTTTTTCTGTAGAACATGGCGTCAACCGATAGGTATACGTCCTTGAAGGGGCTCTACCACCAGAGCCTGCTGATCACACGGGTTTTTCACCGGTTTTATGACGTCATGCATCACAATTCTTCTCTCATTCTAGGCATTATAGGATGTTAGATGGCCATGGGTAGGTTGCTTTTCTTGTTTTTCCTTGCGGTCGCTCGTTTTGTGAGCGGTAGCTCATTTTATGAGCGGTCGCTTGCTTTTTCGCGTGTGCAGAGGAAAATGAGCGACCCGCCCGAAAAATGAGCGAGCCTGAAGAAAAATGAGCGACCCACCCGAAAAATGAGCGACTGCCTGAAATCAAAATCAGCCCAAAAAGGAAAAGCCCGTGTTTTGAGGAGAAAACCTAATTCTGGACTTTCATAAAAAGGGGAGTTTGAGGAGAGAGAAAAGGGGCTACACACTTTGGAGAGAGACTTGACTGGGAAGAGGAGAAAGAGGGATTTTGGAGATCAAGGAGGCTAGGAGAAGAAGAAGACCACCATTGAAGACCATCTTGAGCATTTCTTCTCCTTTTCCATGTTTCTTCATTTTGCTTTCTGTTTTGAAACCCTAGTTATGGAGTAGTGACTTTGTTGTGGGTGAGGGATTCCCACTTTTGTATGGACACCTAAACTTAATCTATGATGTCTTTGAGTTTTCTTCCATTGGTTTGATGTTTTGTGCTTAATGCTATTGATTTGGGCGAA